GTTCATGACAGGTTTTATGTCATGTTTATGACAGTGTCATGTCAGTCTTATGTACACTCCTTCAAATAAAGTGTTACCAAAAGATCATACATGCCCCACATATTTTTGTCTACTGTCATATGTGTCTTTGTGATGGTGTTTTACCGCCAGCAGTTTCCGGTCCCTCTCCACCAGGTCCGCCAGTTTGTGCAGCAACCTCCCCCTGCGGGGGGGCTCCATCTTCCGCCAAGCAGAGTCCAGCTGCATGGCTGCTTTGGCTGCTGCGACTGCCTTGTCGACATCCTCCTGCACCGGAGAGGGAGGCACATCAGTCAGGATCCACTCAGGTTGCAAGCTGTTCCTCACATTTTCAGAAGGTCAGAGTTGTGACTTTAACCATAGATTCTTATAATCGAACCAACCAAAACTCAATTCACACATTAGTTCTAAGCCTAACCTATAACCCCAAAACAGCACCTCTTCCTTTGGGCCCCATAAGTAACATTCAGTCCACACAATGTAGCATGTGGTCCCGACACTAAAACCAAGCTATACGCGCGCACATGCACGCACCCGCACGCACGCACGCACTCATGCAAGTTAGTGTTTTGACACACATTAGGAGTTTGTATTGATTTCCAGTAATTTGAGCTGAATTTCTGCCTAACCCAAACATTTAGCCCTTTTTTTTTAACGAGTCTTATCCGGCAGTGTGGCACTCAGAATTGTTGTCTGTCAAGGTGAAGTACAACAAAAGTACTTTCACACATGAAGCATTACAGCCTTCACCAAAGCATGGAGCTACATGGTCCCTCTAGCTCAGTTTATAACTAGTAACATTGGTGTTACTAGTTAATACACAGCTTTAGATTCCGATGTCACCAGGTGACCGTGAGCCATCCAATCAATGAACAGATGCTTAGAACAGATAAATGTGTGGATGTGTCATAACTGTTTTCATCTGAACTGAAACAAAACTGAAGTTATTATCTTTGGACTTAGAGAAACGATCTCGACTCAACACACAGCTTCAGTTATTACAGTCAGAAACTAGAGATCAGGATTGAAAACCTGGATATACTGAGATGCTCAGACGTCAACCATCAAACACACATAAAGACAGTTACAAGTCAGCATTGCATTATCTCAAGAGCATTTCCAGGATTAAAGGACTAATGTCTCAGCAAGTTCTGACTAAAAGCAGGAAGATCAAGAACATCACCCAGTTCTACAGTCCTTCCACTGAAAGAACAGACCTTAAAATACTGTTAGTTTATAAATCACCAAAGTACATTAAAGATCTGCTGTTGTATCAGTCTTCCAGACCATAAATGTCTGGAAGGCTAATAAAGAGCCGGTATCGGTTCTGGTTCAACCGATAGACTTGATTGGTTGAACCAGAACCAAACATGGAGAAGCAGAATTTAGTTTTATTTCTCCTCTAATCTGAAACAAACTTCCAGAAAATTGCAATACAGCTGAAACAAATCACTGCTTTAAATCAGTGCTTTAGAGTTGTGTTTAATTTGTAGAAAGTGAAATATTGATCAACGTATTTGATGGGTATTGATTATTTTGGTGATTGCATTTTACAAGATATGTTTATTGCTTGTTTCACAATTGGTTACTGTATGCCATTTTTATGATACAAAGCACTTTGAACTACACTGTTTCAGAAATGAACTACACAAATAAACTTCACTTGACTTTAGATGGTTTTATAATCTTTTCAGTGATGTCTGTCTCATTTTCTATGAGAAACAAACTTCCTGATTGAATTAAAACTATTTTAAATCTAAATCTGCCAGGGGTGTTTTTGAATTTGAATTGGATAATTTTGGGCTTTTCAGTGATTCTTCAGAGTTCTTACTTTGTCTGCTTCTTGGACCTCACAGATTGTGTCCCCAGTTGCCGGGTTCCGAGTTGGGAACGTCCTCCCACTAGCGGACATGTGCCACTCATTGTTGATGAAAATCTGTGGAGAAGCCAATCCACATGTGCTTGAGATGCTTTCTTTCCAGGTTTAAATGTGTGTGTGCAGCTCCATACCTTGGTGTATCTGACTTGCTGGATTTTGACAGGCTGAGGTAGATCTGAAGCTGGGATCTTGTCTGCCACTCCGTTCCTTGTTGTCCCCCTATGTGCCATGCTTAGGTCCCAGTGCAGTGCAGGCTGGAGTCTGGCTGCTCGTTCTCCACTTCACTGCCTTTAAAGTTGTACCCCCTCCTCACAGAGAAGCTCCTGGCAGCTCAACTCCGCCCCTGCAAATCAAGCAGGAACCTTGTTCCTGCCAAGTCTGGGGTAGAACCAGGCCTCTTCTGTTGTTTTTAAGCTTTTTGTTCAGAACTCAAATAAAACTTGAACTACAACAATACTGGTTAAATTATTAAATTATCACATACAGTAGTGTGAAAAAGAGTTTGTCCCAAGTATTGGGGCTTAGAATATTAATCTAAAGTTAGCAGCAGACAGACTTCAGCAATTGTTTTTATCAGCCAAACCTCAAATTAACACATTGCAATAATAAATATGACAATGTTTGTTTGTTTTGGTGAATGGCATGTACTTGTACACCACTTAATCTAGTCCAGATGACAAAGTGCTTCACACAACATTCAGTCATTCACACACTAACGGTGGCAAGCTGCTGGATTGGAGCCACAGAGGGAGGCTGAGGCTGCCAGGCAGGTGAAGTGTCTTGCCTAAGGGCACAACAAAGACACACAGAGTGGGGGTTGTAACTGGCAACCTGTTGGTTGCAGAACAAATTCCTCACCATCACCACTGTTGACCTAGTTTTGCAGACTATCAATGTTTTCCTTGCATATCTACGTTCTGATGCATCAGTATGAACCAGGGATCTTCCAGTTCAGGCCTTTTGGGTCAGAGTCTTGCAGGTTTTAAATGTGTCTGCACATCTGAGTTAAAACGTTCGTGTCATGAGCAGAACTCTGGAGAATTGGACTGTTTACTGATTCAGCTGTGTTGGAACAGGAAGAAGCACATCTAAAGGTTGCAGGACACTGGCCCTCCAGCTCTCAAGGCTTAGAGTTGAGCACCCCTGGTATAAACCACATGAAGAAATGAAGATAATCTAAACCGAAACACAGTAGTTGCTTCCAGTCACTCTGATACTTCTCTACACTGACAACAACCAGGCAGAGTTATACATGGTCATTTCAAACAATAAGATAAAACATTATTTTTGGAATCATTTTTTTTTTTTTTTTTTTTTTTTTTTTGAGAGTGAAACGGTGATGATGGGCCTTCATTTCTTATTCAGAAGCCTAGATCAAGAAATTCACTGCTGACTGTTTCCTTGTCAAATCAGAGAATAATGAGAGAAAAGTCCATTATGGTTTAAAATGTGAAATTAACTCTATCTGCAGTAATTAACAACAAATCAAAAGTAGCAGTGTTTTCCAGAAATCTGCTTCAGTTTGCACCTGCCTTGCAGGAACCCATCTGGGTGAACAAAGGCTAGCAAATACTTGCACTCACATACAGTCGGCTATTGTTTCCTCTTCATCACCTTTCCTTTTTGTCGGTGTTTACTCAGAACAACAAGGTTTTGCAAGCCCATTTTTCACCTCAGCAACTCCATAATGATGCACACAAATGAACCTAACTGAATGGACAAGCCAACAAAAAGACAAGAGAAAGGACAGAGAGATAAATTCAGGTTTGTGTTTGAAAACATGGGTGAGCAAAAGCTTAGACTCATACATATATACAAGTAGGAGCAAATGAAATAATTATATCTAAAAGATTAATAGCAAAAAGAAAGAAAGCCTTCTAAAAGTCTTTTTAAGCAATGAAACAAATGCATTATACTTGGACAGTAAATTCAAAAGCAAGTAAAATTCCTTAATTATTTTAATTATTAAGATAATTAAAATAATTAATACATGCAAAAAATTACATAAAAGATTGTGTATTTTAGTCTGAAATAAAATTATTAAGCAATTTAGATAATATGGTTTTGTTTTATTCAGTTTGAGAAGCCATACAAACTGATGAGGCATTATGAATTTGTGGAATAATATTGCTAGATGAAAATAATATAGTTAAGAAATTGTAGTCCTTACAATTTCTTTGCACTTCAGCCTCATCTGTGCCGTGTGAGCGAATGTTTCTACAGCTGGAGAAGCTGTGTCAAAACTCAATTTCAACACTTTGAAAAACATATTTTTTAAATAAAAATTTGTTAAAAAAAAAAAAAAAAAAATCCCAGTTCACACACATCCTCATTCACATCCCGTTCACCCGTGATGCATGTTCACATTATTTATTGAAAGTAACAAAAATATTTTAAATTTAAATGAAGACATGAAATAATACAATATAAAATACACTGACTTAATTTGTAATATTGTACAGTGTAGGTTATCAAATCAGTGTCAGCTGATAGTGTCAACTGGGTTGCCTGCAGGGATTTTTATGGTCCAGCAGATGTCAGTATTCAGTGACACAGGATCAACACAGTATCAGTTCAGCAATGTGGTGAAATGCTTCATGATGCCTCATCAATCCATCAACTTATCAACCTATTCACATTTGTGGTGCATCTGGAACAAACTTCCAAAAAAAAAAAAAAAAAAGAGAAATCAACTGCCAAACAGCTGAAACAGTTTCTTTAAAGGTTAAAAATCTGGTTTGATGTTGCCTTTGATTAGTAGTAAATGGAAGATTGATCGACATATTTGATGTGCATTTATTATTTGGATAGTTGCATTTGACACAATATAATATTTATTGCTTGTTTCGCAATTGGTGACTGTGTGATGTTTTTATGATATAAAGCATACATCATGTTTTGCATAACAAATTTCAGCAAATGTGTCATACAAATAAACTTGACTTGACTTTATTGAGTCAAGTCAATAAAGTCAAGTTAAGACAGCTCAAATCACGAGCTGTCTCAGAACCGCCATATTCAGCTAGCCTGTGTTGAACTTTTCCACATTACCTCACGCTGTTCAGAGCTCTGTCCACTCCGCCATGATGGACATCAAAACAACCAAAACCAAAAGATAGAGTGGTGATGGATAGCCACTGACAGTCATAATGACTGTCAGCCCTTGGTGCAATTGCAAATTTGCAATTAACACTTTTTACAAGGCAAGATTAATGTTCACATAGGTAAAACGATTAATGTTCATGTACTTTATAAGTAAATATGACAAGAAAGATGATTTCAAATATTGCAATAAGGAGAAGGTATCATCTAACCATTAGTAACCATGGAGAAATGCCTCACCATCATGGCTGAATGTATGGATGACACTGGTTCCCATCTGGTCTACAAAGGACTAGTAGAGAACCAGTTTTTAATGCTGCTCCGGTGTAAGGGAAAACACTGTTTATCACAAAACAAAATGTTTTGTGATTCAGGCAAAGTCGGCAATTTGATCAACACATCAAGAAAGAGGAAGTACGAGTTGGTTTCTAAGCTAGCTATTTACAACTTTTGTAAATACTATTGTCCATGGTTTTCTCTGAAATGTAAAACTCAGAAAAAAAGGAAATATATATATTAAATATATGTTTCAGTGTGACACTGAGCGGCTCACTTGGAAGCACCATGTGCTGAGGCTGTGGTTCTCAACCCGGGGTCTGTTCCCGGTCTCTGGCCTTCGCTGCATGTCTTCTCCTTCTGTCTCCTCCCTGTTTCCTGTCCATGTACTGTTCTAAGGCCACGAGAGCCTACAAAAGTGTCATTCGTTATAAAACCAATTCAGTACCATGGGAATCACTGAGTTCTACATTAAAGTGCTTGTTTGTGGTTACAGTTTAGGGAGATCTGCATTGGGGTGGAGGGAGTGGTTCAGGTTGAAAAGATGGACAGACTGAAGCAGTGTGAGAGGAGGAGAGGGAGGGAACCTCTAAGATAACCCTGTCCAGGTGTTCAGGGGGAGACAAAGCCTCCTTTCAGGTCCTGATGAGAACACGTTTCTCCTCCACTTGTTACAAAATGAACCCCAACGAACAAAAGAACAAAGTCAGGCAGAATATTGGATCCTGCTCTTTTTGCAAAAATATGCTGGAGAGAAATACAAACAGAACACAAAGAAACTATGAACAATGTGTTTCAAAATTTTAAGTAACAGTAAAGTAATTGATTCTATCACTAACTCACTCCATACTTCTAAATACAACTAGTAGAGCACAGGTGAAGAGCAAAAACAGTGAGGACCCGAAAAAGCTCCAGATGCTCCACAAATAACCTCCTTTTGTTGGTTAAAATGGGGAAAGTGGTCCTCTGTATGTAACATATACAAATACACACACACACACACACACACACACACACACACACACACACACACACACACACACACACACACCAAGCCAATACTCTGAAGAGTAACTTTTGACTGCAGTTACAGGTTCAAGTCTTTGATGACATGACTCAAAAACTCAGACTCAGTCAGGCTGGATAGAGTTTGAGTCAACATGAAGTTCTGCCTCAGCTTCTCTATTAGATTTGGGTCTGAGTCTTGACCAGTCAACATGTGAACATTCTTTCATCTTTACCACAACAGCCTGACAGTTTGACTGTCAAGCTGTTTGTTGTCTTCTTTTCTCCAGGATGTGATTGGCAGAGGGAGCTTCAAAAGGAGTGGACTCCAGCAGAGTGATGCCAGATGGTTAGTTCTTCCTCCAGTCTTCTGATTGGAGCTCACATTGCTCTTTTTCCTACTTCCTGGTTGCTACTCCAAAAGCTCTCCTGGGAGCTGTCTGCCCTCCTTTCACCATTTAGCATTTAAAAACAGAAAAGAAAATCCTTCCATGAATTCAAACATCTGCTAATCACAGCTGAGTTATGATTCTTACCTCCTCCAGGATCCTGACCCGCCTCAGCAACCGTAACACCATAACAACTTCCTAACTTTACCTTTGTGCATATAGTGATCACCATTCCTCTGACCGTCTCCTTTCTCCTCCCCCCACAGAAAACCACAAGTACAATAAATAAATAAACTTACTGTGACCAGGGAACTTCCAGTACTAAACTATTGCACCATGAGAAGCATGATAACATGTTTTATTAAAATCAAAATGAATGAATTTCCATTGGCTAAAGTTGCAGAAATGAGAACTGTTGTTCTATGTCTTAGCCTCAACAAGTCAGTTACAGAAATAAAACATTCTCTTACGTGAATTCCATCAGAAAAGCCTGA